TTACCATACTCGTGCCAATAAGCACCCTGTTTGAATAAGCGCCCCGTTTGAATAAGCGCCCCGTTTGAATAAGCGCCCCTCTCGAAAAACCATTCCTCCTAACATGGAAATTGTCTTAAGCACCCCGTTTGAATAAGCGCCCTCCTAATTTGAATAAGCGCCCCTCGGTGTTTATTTATTTTTTAATACAATATTTTGTGATTGATTTTTTTTAGCAAATGGTAATCTAACTAATAGAAAAGACAGTAAATTATTTTTATTTTGAAACATACACAGAAATTCATATGCCAGAGGTAAAGCTTAATACTGATTTACAAAATGCTCTGAAATGCTATTGTTCGCTGCCGCTGCCGTATGGTAAGCTGCAATATTATTATCGTAAATATGTTTTACTTTATCATGATTTATTTTTGTAGAATGATCTGTTGTTGACATTTTAAATTTGAATACAAATTATGTATTAAATTCAATATGCATTTAGAGGGGATGTTGAAATGCGTTTGTTATGATACAACCTGGTTATTCTTTATGATTGTTGTGATTTTTAGTTTTGTTGTTGATTTTCAGGTAATATATCTAGCCACTGTTTATAATTGTAGTTTTCTGGGTGAATTTATCAAAAATGGTTATCAATGACAAACTAATTTAATAGTTTTACTGTTTTTTAAAACCTTTTACAGTTGTACCCAGTGATGGATTCAGTGTCTGCCAAAAGTTGCACATAGTCTTTAATGTACAAAGAATTAATGACCAGCCTATCGTAAATTTCAACCTTCTGGAGGTGCCATTTGTACGTCTGCCCCCATCCATGGTGGGGCTGATGTAGTCTAGACCTTTCATCTATACATATTAATTCTGCTAATCGTCTCTGTTTAACTTCACCTACTGTATTTCCTCTGAAACCGCTGGCAGGATTGTGCTCATCTTCCATACACTGGGGATTCTATATGTCACGAACAGGATAGGCTACTTTTCAACGCTAGATATTGGACGACAAGGGGAAAAAAAAAACAACAAAAAACCACCGAAAATCATGTACCTGTTTCGCCATGTTTCACGAGTCGCCTACCTCACATAAGTAAATCCCCTCTCTTAATCTGTACTGCACTGCTCAGTGACTATTTTCTCTGTGCTCAGATCCAAAAATTATCGTCAGGCCATAAAAGAAACAGTCTATGTTTCACAGCTTCATTACGTCACCGCGCATGCCTCGCATCAACAAAAATATGATTAGCATGTTCGATCCTGATCTGATTCTACATGACACGAACACGGAGGTTTATCCATTGTACAGTATACTACTATAGTGTTATATGCCTCAAACGTATCAGCAATAAATGGCATGTTTAGAAATCGATCAAAACAAAACATAAACGTACGCCTGGGCACAATTAGGCATGATATTACAAGTTAGGCCAAGGCCTAATAATTTCGGCTGGATCTAAGCCTAGGCTACCCTAGGCCCCTCTTTCTCGAATCCGGGTCAATTTGCATCGGGTTAATAGGCTATTCTTCCAAAATGTGATTGCATGACATCAACATAGCGACACTAAAGTTTAAGTTTAGGATCAAGCCAGTTCCACCAATCAACAGCTAAAATTTATGTAAACACGTTGGATCAACAGGGTGGATCCAGTAAGGGGAGAGGGGGTAATGGAAATTTAGGGTTGAGCCACTTCCACCAATCAACACCTCGAATTGTGGATTAAAGATTTTAATGAATCCATAGTTCATCACATTTTAGCTACCATCAGTTTACAGGAGCTGACCAAGGCAATTCAACAACAGGACGCACATCGCGGGACACGACTCTGGCATTGACATTCTACACGCTACGTTCCCCTTCACGCTTGACTGAGTGTAACATGCTGTGATTGTCAAAAAATTAACCGTCAGCGTGGGACGAATTAATTACCCATGCGTGTGTTTAATAGTTAGTTGTCATCAGTGCAAAATTCAAGGGGACGGCCAGCCAGCCCGGCCCCTTCCCTCTCCCCAGATTTTTCAAAATTGTAAAAACTTGGAGAAAAAAAGAAAATTACATTCAAATTTCTACTCTGAGAATGCCATTTCCGGCCATCTAGAGGTGGCATTTAATCGTAAATTTTCATGATAACCACTTTGATTGCTAAGGCCTAATGATATTTTGCACTTACATTAGACTGAAATTATATTCGTCATTTCAACATTAATTTTACCAATGTTGTGGTGTAGTGTGGTTCATGAGACTCATTTCGCAGAAATTTGTTGTATCTACTAACTCATATGTCTGTTTTGTGCACCTTAGTCCAACATTGTAAAAATGACAGATTAATATTATATGAATAAATTATAAAAAAGTTTTTATTAAAAAAAGGTAAATTTTCAATTTCTATGACTTTTCATTTTGTCAATTTTCACAATTCAAATTGTAGTTTGTAAAAGCATTTAACACTGGTACAGGCTCATGGTCAAAATAATTCAGGTGCAACAGATTTACGGAAGTACCCAAAATTATTAAAATAGTAACTAACACAATAAAACGTATGGCACGCATAGACTAATAATTGACGACTGTACTCGCAACTAGTATCGGGTTGTCGATGCAACAGTAAAGATTAAAGGACTGTACGTACGCGCTATGTTTGCGTGTGGAGATGTGCGTTGTTGAATTGCCTTGAGCTGACGGAGCTAAGCTGTTAGGCTAGTATTCAGTGGATCAATTATAAGACACTGGAGTAGAAAATATTGATCCAAATGTCATCATCGAACGAACATTGCATAATGACATCATCTTTTGTTGAATTGTAACAATTGGGTTTGTGGTCTACATAGGAATGATTGTTGAAGGCCTACACTGAATCTATTTTACATTCAACAACAGCTGGAGACCAGAGTTTGAGTCAGGTGGTTTTCTTTATATTATTACATTAACATTTATGTAATTTATGTAATTTCCAGCAATGGATTAAATAAAGAGTATGTCTATGTCTATGTATTTCTAAATTTTTAAATACTAAAAATTCTTTTTCGAATATCATGAGAACAAAATTTGCTAAATTAAAAATTCTTTGTGGTTTGATGTTTTCAAAATTGGACATCCACAATTATGATGTTATCAAGTATCTTGTGATGTCACCTTTAAAAAAAAGTAATAGATCTTTGTCAAAGTGTGATTTCATCATAACCTTCAGTTGTATGAGATAAAGCCTATGATTGTTTAATGAGACTTTCACACTAAATGTAATTTTTTTTATTTAAAAAAATGGATCAGTAATAAGATTAAGGACGCTGGTGTTAGCGCATCGGAAACATCGTCTGAATTTCAGTTCAGATCTGAATACAGCTCTAGCATGGAGTAAACTCCCAGGTTTTACACACAGTTTAGTATGGTTTAATCTAATGATTGTTTTTGTGTCTATTTCTCGGTGGCATTGACACATGTTACCGTCTGGCAGTTAACCCTGTAAGAGCGAGTAAATCTGGTGGAGGTGCATGATGGGTACTACTACCATGAGATAGGGGTGCCCTATTACAAAACGAATGGGGTCCGGAACTCAACAAACTTGCGTTTAAAACTCGAAACATGCGTCGTAGAGATGCAGCACTCGTTCAGTATGAATGCCTATTATGGTCTTTTGAAGGACACTCTGTAGATCGTGGTAGTGCTTTTCTCGAGACACAGTAATAGGAATTTACAGTAATAGTCAGTAGACACATGCTTCCTTTTTAGGCTATTTTTTATATTGTTATTATTATCTCATTACCTGTTGATACTTGATGTGATGTTTATTATTATTATTTTATTTATTATTGAATGTCACTCCTATTAAGTGTGAGCTGTCGTGACAAAATGAGTCAATTGTGGTAAGCCAGGTTTAATTTGATATATTCAAGAAAATATATCTGAAGTGTTATTTTGATAAAAATTTGGTTTCAATTTTTCTGATAAGTTTAATATATATATTTCATAGTAGCAAAAGTTCCAAGTTGAGTTACCTAATGTAATCATGTTTTTGAGGCACATTTTGGAAAGCTATTTTTTCAAAATTAATATGAAAAACAACACAAAATTTATCAGTTTTTTATCTTTAGAGGTGATTTTCTCTTAAGTATGTTTTTAGACATCTGAACTTCAAAATGATCTTGCTCTGGTTTTACTCAACCTAGGATCATGGACACCAGAATAAAGCTTATATATTAATCTATCTCAATAACTCACTTTTTGATTTTTCTTACCACAAGACTCTTTTCGTCATGGCAGCTCACAAATTTCCTGATGCAAATCAATATCAAAATATTATTGTTATGATGTAATGTTTTTACTGTTGCCTATTTTTCCAGTAGTAATAATTGTAGATAAATTATACATATTGCATTGTTTTTGATGGCTGCATTATGTTTCATTTTGTCATCTTTAATGGGTTTTTTTCTGTCATCATATTTTCTTCCTACAGTATTTGCCATTTACAACATTTAATGACCTTCTAAAAAAAGTTTTTGGCTTTATTCAACTAGTTACCATAGTGATTTCAATTTAGCTCTAGACTTGTCATTTTCATCATTTTTATGACATAATGAGCATGTTGATGTCAGAATGATTCCTTTATGCTGTATTCATTATATTTTTTTTTTTGTAATATTTTCTAAGTGGCACAGTTTCCATTACCAGTTATGCTTTAAAAATGCATTCATTGTCATCGTCTTGCTGTCTGAGATGATATGAAATGCTCTTAGAGTTAATCATGTACATTGATTAGTTTGTTTTGTATTGAACATATCACTATTTCAATGTTCATATTTTTTTAAATAAAGTAAGATGAAATCTATCCATGTTGGTGGTATTGAATTAATATTGTGATGTGTTGTTAAACTTTTGTCATAATTACAGATTCCAAATATTGAACATTTTGTATAAATTATGCATAACAGCTCTGCTTATTCACAAATATAAGTTTTATTTTAAAACAAGAAAGTTATGTTTCCAAAAAAATTTTTGTAATAAATCATTTCTTGTTTAGCTTTGTACAATGGAGTGAAGCTTGGTGACATACGATCAACAACTAATGGGTGCCGATCAAGATTCGACACAATTTACTGTCCTGACGAGATCGCAAGGAGAGGCGTAAACGTAAGTTAACCATCAATTGATTGGTGAATCGGCTTCGGTATTATCAAACCTGTTGTACAAACTGACATAAGTGAGCCTGTAATGAAAAATATTAAGGCTAGTAAACTAGGTTTGCTGCAGGCATTGATATTTTGCCATGACGTCATTTGTCATACAATATGCTTTCTACTGGCTCCAAAACATAAATAATAATGCTCTCAATGCCATAAAACTTTTATTAGATGTTTACATTATATAACGATTTCGAGTGTTATTATTTTATGCATTATGCAAGTTCAGTACATTATGTATTACTATGATTTTCAATATAGTCATTTTATAGATTGTAAATTTCCCTTAATGATAATACTCAAACATTTAATAATAATACCCAAACATTCATAAGACACCAATTCCAAATTAAATGATCAAAGGCGCGAGCGTTATTACCCCTGGTCACTGGATAACGTACAATGGCAAACCAGCACACAGTGCAACCTTCTTTGCTCCATGAGTTGGTGGAACGCATTGGAACTTGTATGTAGAAGAAAAACGATACATTTTGACGCACATCACTTTTTGTGGCTGCTACAAATGAGTACAAATGCATAAGACAACGTCACAACTAACAACGATAACATTACTACACTCAAACGTTGCCGACGTGGTATTTTTTTTTTTTTTTTTTTTTTCAAAAATTGGAAAATTGTGCTCAGTGGTCGTACAGTAGCAAAAATATTGAATGTGTGAAAGGGCCATAATAATAAAAAAAATTTGGCAAAATTGATGATCATTGTTGATGTCATTATGGATTAGTTTGTTTTGTTATTATTAAACAAATTTTATTCATACACACAAATAGGTTTTTACTATCTTTTTTAATTGATTAAACCCAATATTGTAATGGCATTCATTAAAGTACACATACCGTTTGTGTTCAAGTTATTACAGTAGCTTTGATTGAAATGTGGAATGGGAACAATATAGAATATTCCTTACTGAATGCATGCATATTACTATACAAATGAATTTGAATTTGAACTCATTTATGAATTTGAATTTGAACTCATCTATGAATTTTTATACACTGTACTGTACAGTAGTAAAATTTGTGTAAGAAATTTTTCATCATTACAATAAGTTATTCATTAAGAAATGCTATGAGTTTATAAATTCTTCCATATTCTTGTTACAATTTTCTAAAAGTGATTACAATTTTATAATATTACAGTAAAAGTATACCAGAGATGTATTATCTGTATGCAAGATTTTGGATTTTTGTAATAATAAAAAAGATTGCATGAATTGAATTTTTTTGTATTTTATGAATTAAATATATGTTACATATTTTCATCCTTTAAGAATGAAAAAATCATTAAAATAAGTTATTCATGAAGAAAAGCTGAGTTTATAAATTCTTCCATTCGTGTTACAATTTTCTAAAAGTGATTACAATTTCTAATATTACAGTAAATGTATACCAGAGATATATATCTGTCTCTTATACACATCTAGATGTGTATAAGAGACAGGTACAATGGAGTGAAGCTTGGTGACATACGATCAACAACTAATGGGTGCCGATCAAGATTCGACACAATTTACTGTCCTGACGAGATCGCAAGGAGAGGCGTAAACGTAAGTTAACCATCAATTGATTCGTGAATCGGCTTCGGTATTATCAAACCTGTTGTACAAACTGACATAAGTGAGCCTGTAATGAAAAATATTAAGGCTAGTAAACTAGGTTTGCTGCAGGCATTGATATTTTGCAATGAGGTCATTTGTCATACAATATGCTTTCTACTGGCTCCAAAACATAAATAATAATGCTCTAAATGCCATAAAACTTTTATTAGATGTTTACATTATATAACGATTTGGAGTGTTATTATTTTATGCATTATGCAAGTTCAGTACATTATGTATTACTATGATTTTCAGTATAGTCAATTTATAGATTGTAAATTTCTTTTAATAATAATACCCAAACATTTAATAATAATACCCAAACATTCATAAGACGCCAATTCCAAATTGAATGATCAAAGGCGTGAGCGTTATTACCCCTGGTCACTGGATAACGTACAATGTTTTGGTGGGACTGAAGGACCAATGTCAATGGCACGAGCTGTGTGCATCGCCCTCATCCTCTGTTTGTTTATTATTGGTCTTCTATGTTTGATAGCACACTATGAAAAAATTAAGGTGAATGCAAAAACGAATTCATTGAAAGTTATTGTTTTTCTTTGACATTTTATATTGTGATTGCATAGTTTTTAATTTTTAAAATTTATTTAACTTTACTGATAGTCACACAGAACATCAGCTTCCTGACGATTATGTGGCCCTCATTATTAAAGTTTATCAAATCTCAACAATCACAAGAGTTAACAGAAATTAATAAAATAAAACTACTATACAATGAATGTGTACAATAATATAAATAATGCATTGTTTATATTATTGTATACAATGAATGTGTACAATAATATAAACAATGCATTAAATTCAGTTCAATTCAAATCTATCAACAATTTATTTATCAAAAGTATTATGAAAGATTATTACATAGTAGTTCTGTAATTTTAATTAGTATATTTCTTTAGGATATAATTGGGTAATTTCTGGCTAAAGTAAAAAGTAATAAAACAAACATTCATTGATTTATTTATTACAAATTTGACACATTAAAAATGATTTTATGTTGATTTTGAACATGTCAATACAACCCTCCCGTTTCCTGATAAACAAAACAAAAGCCTATTTATCACTATATTTTATATAGCATACTCATGCAGAGAGACTAAGTGGATAAGTATATATAGTCATATTCTTTTACTGACAGTCGAAGCCTATAAATTTTCTGCTGTGCCAAAATTTATTATATTATTTATTATACTGTATATATTTATATAGTGCCAAATCAAAAATAAATTTAGTTTTTGCCCTTTGACCAATTTTAATGCCAACCTCTAGAAGTATGAAGTATAAAATTTGAGATGCTTTTAAAGAGCTTTTTAACATATTTTCTTAAGTGCTTTTATTTTTTTTTAGTGTCTTTCTAAAATAAAAATTTATCCATTTTCTAGATTATCATTAGCCTATTTTTATATTGATTTTACAGTTAACTGCACAGATGGAAGGACCAATCGCAAAGGCTAATGGATACTTCACTAAACATAATGTTTTGGTTGCTATGACGGACAATCTGATTGGTTGCTGGAACAGGGCGGTGGTATCCTTTACAAAATAGATTATACAGTGTATTTGCCATCTTCCGTAAAATTCAAATTCTGTACAATGTTTTTTTCATAGTCATACAGTAGCATCACTGAACATTGTATTCTGCTGTGGATATAGTCGTTGTACAAATCATTGTTTATGTTCATATCATTATCATTTATTTCACCAAACAGTGAAAAAATGGATGGCTGGCTGGCTGGATTACCCAAAAGCAACAGAATATTACTGTCACTGGAAGTATAAATATAGATAAATATAAATGATTAAAATAATAAATAAACCATCTCTTTTAAAGAATTCATTTAAAAAACTAAAAGTTACTAAAGATAAGTATTTATTTATCGTGCATAAAATGCATAAAAATATATTTTAAAATTAATTAACAAAAAAAAAAATTGGCAAAGGGAAGGAATTGATTTGGTTAATTGATTGATTGTTTTCCAGATTCTATTGTAATTGATATTTCATTTTTTGATGAAATGTATCTTTTCCTTGACCTATTATTTAAATCAGCTTCATTTTATATACTATAATTTAAAAGAGTGTCGGGTAAGTCCAAAGTTTTTCTGAATTTTCTGACATTCGTGTGATTAAATGATACATAAATGTATATTATGATGGAGAAGATAAAGCATTTGTATGGAAAATAGAAAAGCAGCCAAGATAAGAGAAAAGTCCATTGCATATTATTAATGTGAAATTGATAAGGTAATTGTGATCAGTGGTAGATTTGTAAAAAAAATATACAAAAATGGAGAAAAAATGAAAATTATATTCAAATTTAAATGTGAGACTGCCATTTCTGGCCATCTAGAGGTGCCATAATTATAAACCATGGTTGGAGCTGAAGGGGTCTAGAGTCCCTCCATCTGTGAAAGTCCCTCCCTGGCCCTCTTCTATTTCCAATTCCTGGATCTGTCACTTCTGATGGTGTGATAATAATCAGATGATGGTGTGAATGTGTGATGATGATGATGCTGTTATGATGATTAAAGTGATGTGGTAATTGATGATGGTATGATGGTGATGGTAAATGGTAATGTATGATTGTGGTATGCGATGGTGAAGGTGTTGGTAAGTGTGATGATGGTGTGAATGTGTGATGATGATGAGGATGATGATGATGATTATGATGCTGTTATGATGATTAAAGTGATGTGGTAATTGATGATGGTATGATGGTGATGGTAGATGGTAATGTATGATTGTGGTATGCGATGGTGAAGGTGTTGGTAAGTGTGATGATGGTGTGAATGTGTGATAATGATGATGATGATGATGATGCTGTTATGATGATTAAAGTGATGTGGTAATTGGTGATGGTATGATGGTGATGGTAAATGGTAATGTATGATTGTGGTATGCGATGGTGAAGGTGTTGGTAAGTGTGATGATGGTGTGAATGTGTGATGATGATGATGATGCTGTTATGATGATTAAAGTAATGTGGTAATTGGTAATGGTATGATGGTGATGGTAAATGGTAATGTATGATTGTGGTATGCGATGGTGAAGGTGTTGGTAAGTGTGAGGGTGATGTGAATGTGATGGTATTATGTGATAATTAGATAATTGAAAGCATTTGGAAACTATTGAAATATAAATAATCACTTCATCTTCTCTTGACAGGAACATTTTAAGCAATTTCTCAATGAGCAGAAATCGAACCATAGGGGATACAATGAGGTAAACCCATTTTTACTCACTTTGCTCTCACATCAAACCACTGATAATCAATCTGCTTTACCTTTTAAGAAAATAACATCAGTATGCATTACTATGTGATAATTTTAGGTTGCATTTATGGGGCTTGCCATGCCAAAATCAGGATCAGTGACCAGAACAAAAAATTGACTTTTTAATATTTTCTTGGTTTCCACATTATAAGCTTTGAAATGATAGGTCATTTGTTGGAATTGACTTTATATTGGCAAAGTTGTGAGTAATGTATTCTTAAAGTTATGAGCAAGCATCATACAATAGTACAAGCAAACAAGTTATTTTATGCTCTTTATAATTACATACACAACAAGCACACCCACACAGAGCAATATATTTGGAAACTACGAATTAGAGGAGCCATTAAAGACAAAGCAGACCATTTCAAAACAATTTTAGTGAGTGTATGGACTACTTGTATTACCAAAATGAGATTAATCAGTGAAGTGAATAGAGAATGTGTAGAAATGCAGACTAAAAGCCCTGTCCAAACTATCAAATGTGTGGAATATCAGTTTTTTGTCAAAGAAAATTTGATAGTCTGGTCACGTGCTTAACACTCTTTACAACCTTCCTATTTAAAATGGTCACTTTATAATTTTCTGACAGATCTTGATAATTAATCTTGATTAAATGTTTTAAAATCTTAAATTATGTAATTCCACTGTGTTAAAAACAAACTCTTACAAATTTTGGTTTTTTTTTTAAATTCCACTGATTATTTTACAGGATGTAACAGTTGGCATTGATTTGAATGGCAGCAGAGTATTAGAAAATCCGACGGAAAGTGAAGATACAACTCGTTTAACCCTTGACCCACGGAGAGCAATGTTAACAGCAGATACAGAACCACGTGACTTTGAGGTTCGTGCAAGCATTTTCAATTTCCTAATAATTATGATTATGTGAGTTGTTGACAATAAATAAATCTTTTTAAGAAACAGTAGTACATGGTTAATTCAGTGCAAGATTTTGTATTCCTGGTTTAAGGAATTCATCAAGTTATTAGGAAAAACAAGTTACTGATTATGTGTTAAACTCTTGAATGTCTTGGTCTGTACCCACTAAACACATTAATTGTTATTGTTTTTGAATGGCTGCATTTTATTAAATTTTAATATATGAGGCTTGCAATCCTAAAATCAGCTTACTGTTACTAAATGTGGCAAAGACAAGCCAAACCAGTCACTCGTTGCAAAAATCGATTTTGAGTTATTAATACAGGGTTAAAGAGTAAAATAAGAGCTATAAAATGGTTAAAAAAAATCATTCAAATCCAACATTTCCCTATGAAGTTACAAGCATTTAAGCATACAGCTGTTTAAAGAACAATATATGAGAAATCAGCCTTCAAATTTATGATTTCAGGCATTTCTCATGCAGAAGCTATCATAAAATCTTTAAAAAGTGTTGTTTTAACATTGAAATTGGGAAAAATATCAGCACAGCATGATGTATAGATACATAAACCTCAGTTTAGTGAAATAAAATAGATTTTTAAAAATTTTACATTCTAGCATGTTTTTGCTATTTTCTCTGAAACACAATTTGCGACGAGTGACTGGTTTGGCTTGTCTTTGGCACAAATATTAAACTGAGTAATTAGCATAAGAATGTGGCAGTGCTCTATACTTTAGTACAGTACAGAGAAGTTGTAATACTTTTAATCATAACTTTGGCAATAGTAAGAAAGTTGAATCGAGACCTATTAATTTTAAAGCTTATAATGTGTGTGGATATATAATATATAGTCTCTCTTGTTTCGGTCACTGATGCTGTTCTTGTCATAGGCAGCCACAAGTATGAACAGAAAAATATTCTACCATTCCTCGCATAAATTTCTTAAATTTCATTACCCTGTAGTAGTAATAATAATAATAATAATAATAATATTAAAGATAAGGTAAGCCTTTTCTTTATTATTGGTTTGGCCTAAAATGTTAGAACTTTAAATTTAGTAACATCATTATTTGATCTTCAGTGCGATTTACCTGTAAAATTCCCATCACCTATTTTTTTACACTGCCTAATCTGTTTGATATTTATACATTTGAAAAAGACCTACAGATACTTGTTTGTGGTACATTGTCAGATGACGTTTAAAATTATCTGAAAATAGCATTCATAAAGTAAGAAAAAATAAAATACTCACTGAATACCCATTATATTACTTAAGTTGCTGTGATGTTGTTAACCAAATTTGTTTATATTTTTCCATTCATATATTCAGGAAGAAGTAGAACTAATATTACTTCAACACAGTGCGGTGTACACTCGATTACTGATTAAGGGAAAACTTCCAAAAGGATCTAGAACATTACACTGTAAGAAAGGAATGTGTCTCTGTCAATTCGTTGGACGGATTGTCTACAATCGGAACATATAGATCAAGAAACTCATGACGTCTGTCAGTTGCCCTCTATCAAATACTGAACCATCTGATGAATAAGTTAGCATTAAGCTGATAAGCATTTGTAATGTTAAACAATGCTGTTTTTGGTGAGCGAATAAACTTGAGTGTACACAGTAAACATAGCAATAAAGGTAAAATATATATTTAATGACTGTCTATGTACATAAGAGGTTATTTTAATGAAGATGTAAAATATGTTTTGGATGCTACATATACTGAAATAGGTAACTTTACATTGCCACATTCAATGTATTCACAGAATATTGGAGTTTGGTAATTGTGCTGATTAGAAAACTTAATAAAATTTGTGCTGCCATTTTCAACAATAATAATTTAATAAGGATAATTGATTACATCATCATGATGTGACCATCCATTACAATGTTGAATGAATTATTGAGGAAAAATAAGTGTACTGTTTCAAAGACAGCATTAATAGCAATATATAATCAATATAATTTTTTGAAAACACTATGCACATAATATTTTTTGAAGGTTTGTATGTATCAATAACAAAGTCATTAGACTTCGGTACACCATGTGTAAAAATATGGATTTTGAGGTTGGTTGCCTCAATGTTTATCGTTAAGATTCTGTTGATGATGGTCAAAGCATTCTCACTGAAACATCGAGACAGCCAACCAGTGGTTTTACCTCAAAAACTATATTTTTACACATGATGTACCGAAAGTTACATATACAAAGCAAACAATGGTGGATAGAAAACAAGACTGTCATATTTTCTATTGCCTAACCACCTGATCTACAAGCTAAGTTGATGTACATTCTCAGTCCTTAATTGCAAAATATACATAGTACTGTAACATACCATTTTCACATCAAGGTTAAGTTGGTAGGGCAATCTACTCTACATGTAAGTGGAAGGGCTTGGTTAAAATCCCAACTCTATTCAAATTATCTCAAACCTTGTTAAACATCTATGGTGATTTCCTCATCTTCATCAAATGTGGCAGAGATAAGCCAAACAACAAGTCACTCGTGGCAAATCCTGTTTCAGAGATAATGGCCAAAACATGCTGGAATGTCAACATTTTTTAAATCTATTTTATTACATTAAACTGACCTTTATATATCATACTTTGCTGTTATTTTCCCCATTTTCAATGTTAAAACAATTTTTAACAATTAATTTTGGTAATGGTTTCTGCCTGAGAAATATCTAAAAATCTAAACTTTTAAAGCTGATTTTTCAAATATTGTTTTTAAGCAGCTGTATGTTTAAACTCCTGTAACTTTGTAATGAAATGTCGGATTTAAATGACTCTTTCACCATTTTATTGCTCTTATTTTACTGTTTAATTCTGTATTAATAACTAAAAATCAATTTTTTTGCGACAAGTGACTGGTTTGGCTTGTCTTTGCCACAAATGTGAACCTTTTCTGAATCAGGCATTTATTTGATAATGGACGTTTCTCCTAAGCCCCGCCTTGGATAGTTTTCTAAGGTTCCACAAGACAATAACGTAAACGTACACAAACATGTACACATTTGATGTGACAAGTGTATATTTCTGATTCTGTATTAATTGTTCAGTTGTTAATTTTGATAGACATTCTGAGAAGGTCTAATTTGTTGGAATCCATTAGATCCATTTTCCATTGAAATCTTAATCTACACAGATATATTTTATCAGATAATTAGATTATTCAGTTATGTAAAACCAGAGCCTTTACATTACCTTGTAAATTATATTTACTATTTGGGTTTTCGTGTTAACCATACCTTTTATACTATTAAAACACTGTTATTATTGTAAAAATTTAATATTTATTTGTATTTTCACATACAATTGTTACAGTTTTATCAATACAGACACATTTTAGTGAACTCAGATAATAGTGGTATAATTATATCACTACCTTAGTAGCAAAGTAGTAAGTGAGGTTTGAACCTGCTTGTTTTGAAACAATTGTTTTTCATACTTCACAAGACTCTGGTAATAGTAATGAACATGATATTGGTCTAATATGATTAATATTGGTGAAGGTATTGTATGTTTTAGTGTATCTAACATGTTATTACGTTTCATGTTTTTTACTTCTATTTTCTGTCTTGGATTCTCCTTTTAATTGTTTATATTCATATACAAGATACCCAGACTACAGTATTTTAAAATGAGAGTGATACCAATTTTAGCAACACTCTGTTTTGCTAACCAATTTTTGACAATTATAATACCCTCCATGTTGCTTATTTCTCAATTGAAAATAGTGTTAATTTTTGTTACAAATATGATATTCAGTTTTGTTTATATATAACAGATTATTGTGCTGAAATCTACATTATAATTTGTAGCATGTTATTTTACATTATTACTTGCTACTGTTAAACATATGTAGTTTCCAAATGCTGTTAACATCCAGTAGTACAAAGTATTGCATTGTAATTGTCATTTGATTTCTTTGTATTAATGTTGTATTTCTATTATATTATTTCCCTTTTTGTTCATTGTTAAACCTTCTACAGTAAGCTACTTTCTGTCTTGTCTTTTTCTCCCAGTGGTCCTGCTGTGAAGCCAATAATTTCTATAAATATTATTGTTGCTACCAACTATCTTTACTCTGGTTGTATTTAATGTTACAAATTATGTCATTAAGTTCTGCACTGCAACTTCTACAGTAAGCTACTTTCTACCAGTAATCTTGGCTACAGACACAATAATTTCTGCAAACCTGTGCTGTTTGTTTAAACTCCATACAATATTCAGTCATCGTTGTGTTTTCATGCTACTTCAATCAGTTTCAACTCAGGGGCAGATCCAGAAACGTACAAAAGGGTAGGGCGAAAGTGGGGCCGATCAAGATAACACTACTCTAGGGTTCCAGGGGAATTCCCCCGCGAAAATTTGGTGTTCTAGGTGCCCGAAAATAACCTCAGAGACGCTTTGGGCGATGATTTTTTTTTTCTTCTTCTTCTTCTTCTTTTTTTTTTTTTTTTTCTTTTTTTTTTTTTGCTTTCCCCTCCACCTTAAATTGCCCCTGCAAATATAATTTATTGCTATAATCTTTCTTTAGTTGTCTTTTTATACTACTGTAAATTTTATGTTTCAAAGGATACTAGTTTCATTGCTACCAACAATCTAATACTCTGGTTGAATCTAATGATAAATTATATCAGTAAGTTCTGCACTGCAACAGACGATCTGTGTACATTGTTTTCATTGCTACAAAACAATCTTTACTTTGGTTGAATTTAGTGCTACAAATTATATCAGCAAGTTCTGCACTGCAACAAACGATCTGTGTACATTGTTTTCATTGCTACAAAACGATTTTTAATCTGGTTGAATTTAGAGCTACAAATTATATCAGTAATTGTGCACTGCAACAAACGATCTGTGTACATTATGTTCATTTGCTACAATACGATCTTTACTCTGGTTGAATTTAATGCTACAAATTTTCTCAGTAAGTTCTGCACTGCAACAAACGATCTGTGTAATCTGGTTTCATTGCTACTAAACGATCTTTACTCTGGTTGAATTTAATGCTACACATTTTATCAGTAATTTCGGATCTGCAACAAACGATCTGTTTACATTGTGTTAACTGCTACATATGCTATCCTTTTTTATGTTTAATTCTACAGCAAAGGTACAGCAATCAATTTCATTTACAATTAGCAATGCTATGTTGATGAGGGCTCTGATTTACAGTATTACGTCCTCGCATAAAGGCACTTACAAGAAGCTACACTAATGTCAACATTTATAATAAACAAAATGTAACTTAATATATTTATATCCTACAATTTAAAAACAATATAATTTAGTGTATTTTGACAAATATTTAAAAATATATTTAACATTGCTATGATGAAATATTGTAACTGCACCTACAAAGGGTCACCCATTAGTACCAGCCGATTTGAATAAAATAAGCACTTATTAACGTATTGTATTTATAATATTAGAAAACTAGTATTTTACTATGTGAATGAAGATGTTTTTTAAATAATGATAATATATTATTTTAATATGTATATGGATGGCTAAGACAATTACAATAGTAAAGCAATATAGGTCTATTGTGTATATTTTATGCACACTGTTAGTGTATATTCACATTAATGCATTGTGAAAGGGAAGTTGTTATTACTTTCTTTTTAATCAAATGCGTCAGAATTTGTATGTAGATAATGCGATTGATTTATACAGTATGAAGCTACATTTAATTTCAATTTCATGTTATTTGTTATTCTGGTGAGTTACATCAATGTAGGCCTGTACAATAATAATGTCGTGAAAATGGCTTACGTTATTGTTACATGCGTCACCTCATAGTACGTCACCTTCGTGCCAGTCACAATCACAATGCATCGATTAGGGTGTAAATGATGGGTTGTAGTGCGTTCATTTTCTCCCAAAAACTTTCCATGTACAATTGCAAAATTGCATCCAGTTAGATTTCGATAACAGCTCAATGATAATTTTGCTATCGTCTCAATCAGCATTATTTTCTCGCTATTTGGCATATTCTGTAAAAATAATTGTACTACAAACGAAAAAATATATATATATTTCTTGCATTGACATGTAGAATTGCTAGCGTTTGTATTATTATTTTCTTAGTAGGCTTAAGTGGGCAATAACAGGTTTATATAGAGATAGAGAGACGAATCATATGACAGATTATTTCACAGTTGTTTAGGGTCTGCGTGCGGCTGATATGATTAGTTCTAAGTTTTAAACAGCGTTTAATATACATTGTGTTGCATTCCATAATATTTTTAAGACAGAGTATGGTCATAATGTATCTGAAAACATTTCATAATAATTACCCATAGGACCTAGTAAAATGTTGGTATTACTACAATGAAAGTCACTTCAAAGTTTGGATGTTAATACGATCCGATGTATAGGTTTTATGAGGGCGCTGTTAAATAATATTATTTTCTCTGTACAGTGTCACAGAAAAAAATTAATTTAAGAAGGGTTTTATCAGTCACACTTTTTGTAAATCACCCGGTTTTTTCTGTTATTGAAATAAATTGATGATATGACTATAACTGTGGCTTTTTTGTCTTTTATTCTTAAGTTGGTCTACAAAAATGTAACACATCCAATGTTTTGCAGATAAAACATTAACGTCCATAACAGCCTATCATTCTAGGGGCCCCCAAGGGGCCCTACCCATAGGTTCCTCGATTTAGCACCCTGACCAAAAAGGACTTTGTTGATAAATAACACCATAATGTGTTTTTGAAATCGACTGTTGGGCATATATCATATAACGATTAAAAGTCTATGCGTGATAACGATTTATCACAAATTCAGGGGAAAATATATTTATAATTTGAAGAAATTGGTTGTATTAAAACTAAAAACGGTGATGCAGTAACACTAATGAGTTACTAAAAATTGATCAGTAATGAAATGTTTGTGTAGGCAAAACACTTGCCCTTGGCTGTGGTAATGCACTTATATTTAGAATGCCTCTCACGAGAGTAGCTCTTCTTCAACGTGCTCAGAACACAGCATCAATCGTAAAAAAAAAAAACACGAACACATCACTCCAGCTGCATTGATTACCTATTCAATCCCGCAATAAATTCAAATTGCTTCTCGTAACCTACAAGACCATCAATGGACTTTCCACCTCCAGTGGCGTAACGCCTATGCGCTCTCATGTGGCGGTCCGTAGGGCCCCCGAATTCTAGGGGCCCCGAGGGGCCCTACCTATAGGTTCCTCGATCTAGCACCCTGACCAAAAGGACTTTGTTGATAACTAACACCATAAGGTGTCTCTGAAATCGACTGTAGGGCATATATCATATTATAACGATTAAAAAGAGGGGGCCCCTCTCGGCCCGGGACCCCACCAAATTTGTCCAAAAAAATTAAAAATGTGGATAAAAAGAAAATTATATACACAATTTTAAGTCTGTGAGTGCCATTTGTGTCTGAAATACTGTAGGACAGTAGGACATATATTATATCCAGTGGCGGAATAAAGAGTGAGGGGGGTGGGGGGGGGGGGTTGTCGGCCTCGGCCTGGAACTGCCGGCCCGGTACCCCACTAAATTTTTCCAAAATATTTTTTAACTGGAGATAAAAAAAAAAAAGTACATAGGCTATTCACAATTTTATGTTTGTGAAGTGCCATTTCCGGCCATCTAAAGGTGCCATATTCATAAATTTTCTTACCTCAGCCCTAACCATGGTGGGTCTGAGTTGGTATAGACTCAACTGTGAAAGTCCACCCC